AGGGGAAGCCACCTGGCCCCGGGGGCACCCGCACAACCGGGCCACGCTAGGGGACGGGGACGCGGCCACCGTGGGGATGGGGACACACGTGTGGGGCCCCCCCATGTGGGTGGCAGAGGGTCACCGGTGTCCCCCTCTCCAGCAGCCACGGGCTCACCAACGTCCCCCACGGTGCACGCGGCTGCGGTGGCACTGGCGCGCCTGTCCCCCCTCCCCGGCTGCGGTGTCACCAACGTCCCCATCAGTCCCCTGTGCATGGGGACATGGCGGCACCGATGTCCCCATGTGCGTGGCCATGTGTCCTGCCCCCTGCAGCCATAGGGCCACCATTGTCCCCTCAGCCATGGCTGTCGGGTCACCCGTGTGTCCCTCCCTTGCAGCCATAGGGTCACCGATGTATCCCTGCGCATGGCCACGGGGTCACCAGTGTGTCCCTCTCTCTGCAGCTATGGGGTCACCGATGTCCCCATGCGCATGGCCACGGGGTCACCGGTGTGTCCCCCTCTCTGCAGCCAAGGGATCATTGATGTCCCCATGCACATGGCCATGGGGTCACCAGTGTGTCCTCCTCCCTGCAGCTATGGGGTCACCGACGTCCCCATGTGCATGGCCACGGGGTCACCGGTGTGTCCCCCTCTCTGCAGCCAAGGGGTCACCAATGTCCCCATGCGCATGGCCATGCAGTCATTGGCATGTCCCCCCCCCTGCAGCCATGGGGTCACTAATGTCCCCATATGCATGACCATGGGGTCACTAATGTCCCCTCACCCATGGCCACGGGGTCACCAGTGTGTCCCCCTCCCTGCAGCTATGGGGTCACCGATGTCCCCATGTGCACGGCCACGGGGTCACCTGTGTGTCCATTTCTCTGCAGCCAAGAGATCATTGATGTCCCCATGCGCATGGCCATGGGGTCACTGGTGTGTCCCCCTCCCTGCAGCTATGGGGCCACTGATGTCCCCATGTGCATGGCCACAGGGCCACTGGTGTGTCCCCTCCCTTGCAGCTATGGGGCCACTGATGTCCCCATGTGCATGGCCATGGGGCCACTAGTGTGTCCCCTCCCTTGCAGCCATGGGGTCACCAATGTCCCCGTGTGGACGGCCACGCAGTCATTGGCGTGTCCCCCCCCTGCAGCCATGGGGTCACTATTGTCCCCATATGCATGACCAAGGGGTCACTAATGTCCCCATGTGCATGGCCATGGGGTCACTGGTGTGTC